ATCATATTTAAATTAAATTTTATTCTTATGTATTTATAATTATTAATTTTTCAGAGTGATTGTCCGAACTTGGTGAATTTAGATCTCTCCAATGTGACTACGCAAGCAATTTCACATAGTATCATTCACATCGAGAAGCTCCAGCACGGTTGTCCTAAGTTGAAGGTACTGCGTGTGACCAATTCACATGTATTATGGAGCAATGCAACTTTGCAGGAAACGGTAAGCACAAGCGTGTAATAAATGTATTGTTTTTTATATATGTATATATTAATTTCTCACTTGGGTGCATTAGATGGATTCGCCTGGTTTCCCCGATCTCGAGGAGCTTTCCGTGGCAGCTTTATCTGAGGAAAGTCGCATCTTAGGCGATGACCACTTGCAGCGCATATTGAAAAGCAGCTCAAAATTGAAACTATTGGATGTGCGCGGTTGTGCGCGACTCACACACGAAAGTCTCATACGTTTACCTGCGTGGGATATCAAGCATTTATTTTTGTCCTTCTGCTCAGTGACGCGTGATGTTGGGTAAGCATTGCGAAAAAAGTTTGCCTCTTGATAATATCATATTTATGTGTGTTAATTTTTTAAGCTCCGGTCTCGAGCTTATAGCTTCAAAGTGGGCGCATAGTCTCATCGAGTTGGACTTGGCCTGGGCGAATGTGCAACAGCCATTGGATAACGCATTACGTGCATTGGCCGAAAAGGGCAGCGAGTCGCCTCTAGCGTAGGTTCAATGCTAAGCAATGTAGGTAATACAGATTAAAGATACTAATAGATTTATTTTATTTTCAGCCATTTGAATCTCTGTGGTTCATCGGTTTCAGATGAGGCAGTTAAAGAGATTCTTGCAAATTGTGCGCATATGAGTTCAATAAATTTGTCATCGTGTCGCGGTCTGCCGCGTGGTGTCAAGCGTCTCATACAAGGACAACAAGAATTACAAGAGCTGCGTGAAGTGCTCAAGGTGCAGATGAAAGTCAAGTTGCCTGCACAAATGAAGCAAGAACAGGAAGAGGAGGAGCGCCGACAGCGTGCGGAACAAAGTGGTGCATCGGCTGTTGATGGTGATAGTGGTGGTGGTGGTGGTGGCGGAGGAGATGACGGTGGTGGTGCAAAGATTCAATCCAATTGATATTAAAGCAGCGCGGCATATGTTTAATTTTTCACATCAATGCAAACGGAAAAAAACCTACACTAACACAGAATAAATCAGTTATTAATGCAAAAAAAAAAAACAAAATTAATTCGTAGTTTAAATTTAAAAAAATTAACGCAATTGAGAACTTCAAATAAAACTAGATTTAAAAATTATGGTGAGCATGTTGAGTTTATTTGTTAACGTACTCAAGGCGAAAATAATATCTGTCTCAAAAAAGGCAAGCCGGCTGCTTGTTGCGCGCCGCGGTATAAAAGTATGTGCAGAAATTTATCTGCTGCTGGTGGCAGAAAGATATTGATTTTATGCATTTTAGCCTTAATTATCTGAGCATAAATTTCTTGTAATGAATTTGATTGTGCATCACATAGATTGCTTCCAAATTTAACACGAAATTTTTGTAAATATTAAGTTATTTGGCATTAATTTAATTTAGATTTTTTTGCACATACTATAACATATGTTGTATGTATTTTAAGTAAGGCTTTAAGTCAGATAAATGCGCCTGCTAACTGCAATTTCTTAATTCCTTCACCGCACGATTTTATAGTATACCTACGCAAACGCAAAGCACTCACTCGAGACATTAATGTCCGTGCTAGCATAAGATTTTTTTTTGTAATTTTGACACTAATTGCGAAGAATTCACTTTAGTTTATTATTTTAACATAAGAGTTTTGAATTTAAACTAAAGGTAAATAACCAGCCTTAGAAAAAAGGTTTTAAATAAACAGACATTTTATTGAAAACTACAAATACATACAAACGCTTGTTGTAGAAAAAGAACCAATTCAATTATGTATAAAAAATAAATCGGACAAAATTAAGAATTCCTTTAATGTCGATAAAATAACTGTGTAAAATCAGTCAGTTTTATTCTATTTTTAAATTTCAATCATACTATTATACGTAATATTAATTATTTTATATTTTATATATAAAAACGTTTGCAAAGTTTAATATTAAATGAAATCAATAAACAGATAATGTTTACAAAATGTCAATTGGGATAATGTCTTTGTTTGAAAATTCTCCAACCAATAATATAATGAAAGGATGTCTATTAAACTGTTGTTTAAGTAAAGATTTAAAGGTAGCAATATTATCTTAATAAAAATAATCAGCTCTATTATTGTTTTCGACAAAGACGTTGTCGTAACTTTACCAGCGATATCATTTTTTATCAACACCATAATGATATTGATTGATTGGAAAGGTATATTTTTATATATCCCACCAAAACCGGTAAAAAACGCAGTTTCGAAAAAAAGTGTTGGTTAAGGCCTTTATGAATTAAGGATGTCGTTACCATGTTTACTTGTAAAATAATTTCGTTAAAATACTGGACCTAAATTAAGGCGTTTGATATCGAAAGTAATTGAAACGATTTTTTTTGATTTTCAGATAACGGCATTCGATAGTGAGTGCTCTTCGTCAATTTAAATTGTAATGGGGTTCCCTGCAGCTGCAATTTTGTTCTATTCGAAACGAGTAATCACTCGATCAGAACCAAAAAGCTATTTTTAATTTAATAAAACATCCTTAAAATATATTTTGAAAAAAAAAACCAGAACCGAAATGTCCATTTTACAATACAGTAAAATTGGCAGCAACAATAAGGGTAGGGGACAGCTTTGCAAACCGTGCACCGTGCAAGGGCTTTGCAAGACTTCGAGAATACCCCTATTGTAGTTTTCGCGCCATTTAAATGTTGGAAATTAACCTTGGACTATCACAGCAAACTATCCAATTCTGTACGAAAAGCTAACTTGTCTAGGAAACCACAAAAGCCAGAGTTTCAAATTATGATTGATATCGACGATGGCAAACATAAGAAGGCTGAGGCTTTAATAGGAACTGGAACGCAAGCTCTGAACCGCTATTGTATTTGAATGAGAAGTGAGCAGAAATACACTCGTGAGGCTTGCCTTTGGTCGGAAACTGGCAAGGAGAATTAACATTTTTCACGAGTCGCACCCTTTTTTGCACTTCGAGAGTAACGATACTTTTTCCAAATTCAGTGTAAATGATTGGAGTTTCACCTATACAGCCAAAATATTTTCGCAATTGTGCGTCCATTTGCTTTTTTATAATTTTAGTTTAAAACAATGGAGTAAAAAATAATCTTAGGTTAGATAAGAAAAATCCATATTGATGTAGGGTTTTAACCAAGGCGTATTTAACAAGGTGGTGTTGGCCGTATATAAGTAAAAAATTACACTAACAAATTATACGCTGATGTCCATACTGTCATTGGTATGAGTTACAACAAACACATCATTTTGACGTAATGGCCTCCACGGCGAAAAACTCAGCTGTCGCCCCAACACCACCTTGTTTAATACACCTTGGTTTTAACTTTGCATATTTTAAGTGTCTTGGCATGCATGCATATGAAAATTTAAAAAATTGCATAATTTTTAGTAAACAAAAATATTTTGTCCGAAATTAAAGCGTAGATACATAGATGCTTTTGCAGTCCAACCATCAAATAAATAAAATTTAAAAAAATGTTCGAGGGTTTGACAGTATTACATTCATACAAACATAAATGCTGATGTGTTTTTTTTTTTGTTAATTATAAAGATTTGGAAGTGTTGCAAGATAAAAAACATGCAATTATTCACAAGTAAAACCCGAAAATCTTGAATTTGTAAATAGTAATAATATTAATAGATTGGCGCTTATATATATGTGAGTGTTTGGCCGAGCTTCTCCTTCGATTTGTGGCGTGCGCCTTTTGATGTTGTCTCACACAAATGGGAGGGATCTACAATTTTACGCCGACTCCGAACGGCGATTGTATTTTTATAAGAAGCTGGTTTTCATGGCAGAAATACACTTGGAGGTTTGCCATTGCCTGCCGCGGGGCGACCGCTGTTAAGAAAAAACCTTTATTCTACATTGTTTTGCGTTGTTTGACCAGGGGTTAAACCCAGGCGATGCGGAGTGGAAGCGCGCACTGCTTACCACTCCACCACAGCGGCCGCCTGTAAATTTGTAAATAAGCTAATGATTTAATGCAAATACACGCATAGTATAATTTTCCAAATTTAACCCACGCTTTGCTTTTCCAATTTTATGATTAATTTATGTATGTATACACAAGCAACAATTATATAAATAATGAAAATTGTTAAACATTAATATTAAAATTGAATAAGCAATTAAAATGGAAAATACATAATATTTAATTGAAATAAATGATACATTTTAAATACAATTATGTTTTTCGTTTTATTAAGAAAAAAATGCGTAAATGTATGTACATATCAGGGATGTTGCGAATATTCGCATTATTTTGCACATTCGCAATCGACATTCGCATTCGCATCAAATGATACGAATAGTTTTGTGAATGCGAATGTGTACATGGGCAGAGAGTCCACTCTAATATTGTTGAAATGGCTTCAAAGTTTGTCTAACCAGGGTGCGGGCAATAACCGGTGTTTGACTTCAGGCGCTAAACGGTTAAGTATTATATTAAGCAAATTGATAGGCATTCAGCAAGTACTTTTTCTTCAAAATAAAACTCGTATCTTGTGTCCTATACTCACGGCATTACCACCATTTGCCAATGTCTTACGCGATTACTTCACTTACTTTTTAGCATTTTTATTCGCTGAATTCCAGTTAAAATTAAACATTTACACGTGAACGTATGCGCTAAAATTAATGCACTACAATTTTTATACATAAACAAAGTATATATAAAAAAATTGTTAAAATAAGGGGTATGAGGTATGTAACTTAATCAAATATTTCAATTGACCATTGTAGTTTAATGATGTTTTGCTGCTCTAAATTATAGTACATACCACTATTTTATTTAATTTTTCTCTTTTTTTTTACTGGGTTTGTGTTTATTTATTGCTCTTTACTTCTTGGGGGTACTTGCCGGATTAGTTGTTGATCCAGCCGCTCCAGCAGCTGCCGCTGGTGACATACAATTTCCATCGGGATATCGCTTCTGGAACTGTGTTATTAACTCTGGATCGACCAAGCGTATACCGTCCAATTGATTGCCCAAAGTAATCCAATTCGGTTGCACGTTGTGTGGTCGGCCAAAAAGTTCTATTTTACGTGTGCCTGGACTAAGACGTTCAATGATGCCGTATATTTCATCGGGTTTATGTGAGGTGGCGCGTACTTCTGCAACAATAACATCGCAATCGAGACCGCGATTGAGATTTTTCGGATTACCTTTCATGCCAACCAGACAATGTTCTTTGCCATGATTCAACCAATGGCCTGTACGACCTGTGCGTATGATGCGTTGCAATTGATTTGTTTTTACCCAAATGAGCTCGTCAACGCGTTCATAACTTTGTTTCATAGGGAAATGGAGAGCAAATATATGTAAATAGCATATTCACAGTAAAATAAATATTAGCTACCCCCAGAGCTTTAGGCACTCCCGTCCTAATTCCATAGCGCGACCTGTTACCCACAAGAAAATAAGTCCATCATCTTGCAACGCTGGTACGCCTAACTGCCGCATCTCATCATCGGACATTGTACCTTTAATCAAACATATTAATTTATCAAATACGTAGGGCAAACATTTTGGAAATTTAAATTTCCTTAACTCACCATAAGGCAATTCCATGTGTATATCCCACGGTGGATCGGCCATAACAACGGCGAATTTGCCGAGTACTGTCATGTCTAGATAACGCAAATCACATTGTATCCACTGCGGGGGATAGAGTGTTACGCTGGGATCAATGCTTCGTTTGATGCAAAGTTTAGTCTTAACATCGACTGGCTTGTTAGTGTTTATATTCGGTATCGTGTCGACTTCGTAATGCACATACCTACAAAAACCGACAAAAATGCATTCGTTTAATTTGACTTAATTCTCAAACAGCGCCCATACTTGCATGTCGCCATGTGAAAACACGTATTTAAAAAACTGCAGTCGCCGAGTGATTCGTCGGTGTGCGATTGGATGATTTTCTTAAAATGCAATTTTGTGCAAGTATCTAATGTCTCTAAAAGTTCATCCGACGATTGTTCCGAATCAACTTCGCCGTCCTTTAAGTTATCCGATACAATTTCGCCATCTTCCGCATCCGATTCTGCAGCCTTGGCATCGTTTTTCTCTTCCTTCCCGCTGGTGTTGCCATTACTATCCGATGTTGCATTTGCATCGTCCATATTTGTTGTTTCCTCGTTATTTTTTTGGATTCCTTCCAAATCGATAATCGCTTTCCTGGCATTCTCTAATTTGTGGTCCCGCTTTTTTTTGGCTGCCATTTCCGCAGTGGCTTGTTGCGCTTTAAGGCACTCCACTTTTGTGCCATGTGGACAAAATTCCATAACCTGCGCCCCACCATGTGATTTGAATTTTTCTGCAACAGAGCGTTCCTTGGCAGTGGGCTTGGTTAATAATTCGAGTATTTCCTCGCCGACTTGTTTGCTTTGCTTCTCGCGCGTTGATGGCATCGAGAGGAGGGACTAAGGTGTCAGTGTATAGAAATTAGTTAATATATGTATATATATAAATAGAGATGCTTAGTTCGCAGACCATTATATCATCAGATGCATCCGAACCGCCGATAGTCGTCTCTTTTCGCGCATTTGGTGCTGCATTAGCTTCCGCCTTCACCATCTTATTAAGATTACAGTCCTCATTCTCGGCATCATCCGTTTCGACTAGAACGTTTGTGATTTCAGTAGCTATCGAAAAACGTATACAAATTCTATAAATATGTACCTACATTTGCGTTTCAGCTCTTCCTTGATACCCACATAACTGTCATTAATCAGTTCTTTATATAGACCTAACACAATGTTAGTTTCTACAGAAATCACTTCGCAGCCCACATCCTTTCCGATGGTAACACTTTTGATATTGACTGCTCCTTGCTCGGCCAATTTGTTTAGGGTGTAATTAATTACTTGCTGTGCAGGTGCTTTATCCAAAAATGTAGCCACTTTTTCCAACAATTGTGTAGATATTATTGGAAGCACAAGTGTGCTGGAGGAGAGTGCCTGCAAAACCGCTTTCTCTGCTTCGGCATCCGTCTCTGGCGAACAATGGTTACAGGTAAACTACTTTGTTAAGCTATGAATGGCACGCTACTGTTTGAAACATACCTAATTCTAATGGTGGATTCGGTGAATCCTTGGCTGTATCAACAACGTTATTTGGCGACGAAGACAGCAAACCGGCACGCTCTTTCTTCCGTTTCTCCAACTTTTCTCGCAGTGTATTACGTTTGGTCTTTACTGCTTTTATTTCATCCCAAGCATCAGCCATCGTATAACAGGAATGCAACAGAACCCTGTTTTCTAGGCGCCTAATAGCCACAAATCAATGAATCGACAAAAATATTTAATCTGGTGTAAAAATAAAACAACTTTTGCTATTCAGATGCTTCTTCTGGGAATGCGAATATTCACGGTGCTCAGAATACGAGCCGGGCTGTGGATGTAGACACAAGAAGAAGAAGCATAAAAACAAAAAAAATTACTGACCGACGAACAAAAACAAAAACAACTAAAAATTACTTAATTGGTGGAAAATTTGATAAACTCCATAATAAAATGTTTGGTTGCAATCCAAAGGATTACGATTTCAAAGTGGAACTGTCACGCGCCTTCAATGGCATTGGCACAGTTTACTTGGCCCAATACTTGCCCAATGGGCAGCATATCGCCGTAAAAAAGTATCGCATGGATAAGGCCAGCAAAGAAGAAAGCATCCTGGCTCGCGATGAACTACTTATCATGCGTCAGTTCAATCATCCCAACATACATACTTTCCATACATCGTTTGTATATGGAAACGAACTCTTCCAGGTAACGCCATTAATGTGCTTTGGTAGCTGTAAGGACACAATCGCCAACTGCTTTCGTGCAGGTGAGGGAATGATGATAATTTAATGGTATATTATTATTTCATATTTTAATTTTGAATGTCACACCAGGATTTCCCGAAATATTTGTTGCTCTTATAATGCGTGATGTTCTCACTGGTCTCGAATATCTGCATCGACGTGGTTACATTCATCGCTCCATTCGAGCCAGCCATATATTGCTTAACCAAACGAAAGCTGTGTTGTGTGGCTTTCGTGAGTCCACCAGCATTGTAGCGCATGGTGAACGTATCGGTGCATTACATAAGCTGGCTCCATGCAGTGCACGTAGTCTTAATTGGTTAGCACCAGAAGTGCTGGAACAGAATATAATCGGCTACACGGAGAAATCAGATATTTATTCAGTTGGTATAACATGCTGCGAACTGGCGAATGGAGTAGAGCCTTTCGCCGATGCTCAACCGACATTTATGTTCACCGAAAAAGTGCGTGGTAATGTGCCAACATTATTGGATCGCTCGACATGTCCGGCAAGTGAAGAGATGATTGGTAAGTGTTGCATAAATATTTTCACTTTTTTTTTGTTCAAACGTTTCTTACAGAAATAGTTGCTAGCACGGATTCAGACTCAATAAGGCAAGCACAGCAAATCTACTGCCAACGAGTTTTCTCTGATGAGTTTCATCAGATGACAGAAATTTGTATGGAAAAAAGACCGTCCAGCCGTTGGTCAGCACTGCAGCTGCTCAACCATTCCTTCTTTAAACAATGCCGACACACAAGCATATTGGACCAGTTACAACGTTTTGGCTTAGAGACGAAAGACTATTCGCAATTGCGAGGTATGGCTCTTGAATTTTGTTTTCCGATTTGTTAGAAAGTGTTTATTTTTTTGTTTCTAGACGAGAGTCTGGGTCTGTCCAGCGATTTGAGCGAACTGAATGTAAACAGTAATGATTGGGACTGGGACTTTTAAATTAACTGGTTTCAGTTTATTCGAGACATCTTGTCGTGAGTGTTTATAAGCGCATGTACGTACATATGTGCACAATTATTAGTAGTTATACAATATACATAAATTGCATTTTTTAGTTTCATAATAAATTTAATTTTATGTACTTACGCAACACCTCTAAGAGAGAATACCATAGACTATCAAATAAAACGTTTTTAAATTTGGTAAAAAGACAATGCAGAAATAAAAGTATTGATTTCAATAAAGCGAAGAAGAGTTTGTTGCCTCGCAAGTAGAAACTAACACCTTTCCTGCCTTGAGTGCATTACGCTTGCAATGAAAATAAAACTTATTTTTTGATGCTTTCCTATCATACTTTATTATGTGGAAGATTGAATTTCTTAAACTCATGAAGCCAATTTGTTATAAACTTCGTTTTAAATTAAATTAGTATACATGTATGTACATATGTATATGTAATTATATTTGTATATGCTTTTTTTTTTTCAAAATATAATAAAACACATACAAATCCATAAGAGTACTTAGAGTAAAAATGTCCACATGTGTATACTGTCCCCCAACTGGTCTTATATCGAAAGGTTCTCTTCCGGTACATATATTTTATCTGAATTGATTATTCCGCATCACCTTTCTTATGATATACAAAAATATTGTAGCTATTCATGTGATTACTATGTTTATATGTAAATGTATGTATGTATGTAGTTTGGTGTGTATATTATTGATTATATGCTAAATGGTATTGCTATACGATTGATTTTCAAATTGTTGCTTTCGTCATTTACTCCAATGCTAAAATAATTTTATTACTATTTATGTAAAAAAATATGTATGCTGGTATGTATGTAGACATAATATTAAAAGGTTGTAATGTATTAAGGTCAGATATAGATATATGTACATATATTAAATCGCTGCATTTATTTATGTACGAAATTTGCGCCAAATAAATGTCTTGAAATACATTTTATGTGGGTTAGTAAGAATATATTTACAAACAAAAAACGTTTTACGAAATATGCCTACTCTCATTTACGTAATTTTCATTTGACCATTTTTTTCTTGAACTCAAACACAATTTTTAACAAATTTCTTTTGCCCAAAAAAAATCTAAAATTCTTTTAAGTATGCTTATACTCGCATAATAGCGAAGCAGTAATTTTTTAAACTTCAATTAAATTTGATTTGAATCGCATTTTTTTTTTTTAATTCAATAATTTTAACCACATAGTATGACTTCCGTAAATTGAGTTGAAAAATAAAAAAGGTTTTATAAGCAGTAGGTTTTAAAGAATTGCGCGAAATTTTCGTAGAATCTTAACGGTATATCATATTTTTTTTGCAAATATCCAATGGAATTGATACGCATTCTTCAATCGCTGCTTACACGCCCGTGTGTGTGTCAAGTTAAGTCCCGCCACTGCGGTTTGTCCCTCCGATTGATCTTCATTAGTTTTAGTAACGTACATGTGAGCCGGCACTGTGCAGCGCTTTGAGTACAACAAAGCCCAGCACTGTAGCCGCAGCGACACCCAATCCAGCTTTCCACCAAAGTGTTGGATCCTCAGTCATTAAGCCAAACTGTCGCAGATGACTGGTTTGTGGTAGGTGGAATGTTGACCCAAGCGCGAAGAAAAATATGGAAAAATTATTAGCTTAACTGAATCGCAATGGAAAGTTGATATTACACATGCAAATAAGATTTCAAATACTACAATTAAAGCGAAGAAGCGTAAAAACTTAAGTATGCTTATGTGTATGTTTTACGGATAAAATTGTTAAATAAAATAAAGGAGAACAGGAAATGTCCCAGCGGACACCAAGAAAATCGTGAGGTGTGAAGGAGAAAGTTGTTATAATAAGTGCATTCAGTTTTCGACCCGATTACTAGCGGAAAACATACAAAGTTGAAAAGTTTCCTAAACGAACCCCCCAGGCGACAGTACTAAAAAAATTGAATTGTGCCAAAAACTGAATGCAATTGTTTATAAACTCTTCCTTTGTATGACTGGGTGCGCATTTGGATGGATGAATGAAGTGCACAAATACCAAATAATTTCCGTAAAGAAACAATAAAACGTAAAATAGTTTTAGGTGCCAAGTACGGGTATTCTGTGTGAAAAATATTTTAATGCAACACAACACACTACACATTTTCATACAGTATATGCAAACAGCCCTCTAGGAAAGAGAGTCATTCCTCCATGCATGCTGTACAGATTCTAAAAAAAAAGCATGGAAACATTCCCTTTCGTTAAACAGTTAATTTCGTTTTTATCAAACGATGTCATTAGAGGAAAACTTTCCTCCTAACTGTCTATGGAATGCAAAAACGTTCTGTAGTACACATCAAGCTTTCCTTGTTAAGTGGGGAAATGTTTACACCTCTCGACTCAAAACTTCTGCTTTGTTTCCATATGCAACGAGGAGGAATGTTTCTACATTACTTCCAATTGGAAGCGTTCCACATTTTCTTTGGGGGATGAGTTAAAAATATATGTATGTATGAGTATCTATATAAGTAAATAGTATGTAAATTAGGGCTGGGACTATACGTATATTCGTATATCTGTTCGGATATTTCTATACACGGATAAAATTCGGAAATCTGCTTAATATCCGTTCCTTTTGTTATCCGATTATTCTGATTTTTTAATCAGATATTCGAATATCCGGATTATTTGCATATAGAACTCCCAGCCCTAATGTATGTACATATGTAAGTATATACAAAAAATCCAAAAACCATATTTTACCATAACCAAATTCTTTTAAATAAAGTTTGATTAAAGTCCAAAAAAATATTTTCATCTAGCAAATGTGTTATAAAATAATATCGGAAACCCAATTTTTTATCAGTACTAAATTTTTTAAACTAAAAAATGATTTGATATTAAAAAAAAAATAAATATTTTCTACTAGCAAATGAGTTATAAAAAGGTATCTACGTTATGTTGCTGATTTAATTTTTTTGCAGTACGCTATGTATGTATGTTATAACTATGGTGTATTGCTTTTTTACAAAATATTTGCTCGAAAAAAAGAGAAAAAAAAACAACGTATGGATAGTATGATATTAGTTGCTCGTTCGGCTGTTTTAAATGGCATTAAGAAGTTTCACACTTACGCTGATTCCCACAGCTGTACCAACCTGTGCTTGTAAAAGAGTATCCATGCGGCCTGAAAACGCCTGCAAATCATTGCGCGCAAAAAATTTTTGGATTTAGTTAATTTAGATTGTTTTTGGTTATTATTATTATTATTTTTTTTTGTGCAACAATCATCAGCCAAAACGCAGCCAACCAAAGTCAGGTGAGTAGTGAAGTAGTTCAAACACGCGCGATAACGTATTTTTTTATTTGGTGTAAAATTTGTTAGTTGATGCAGCAGTTAGAAGATAAAGGGAAAATAGCATAATTAGGTTCGTTTTGTTTTTAATTTCTTAGTTTTCTTTGCGATTTTATAAGTATTAAAAGTATGTATTTAAATACGTGAATATCGATTTAAGTTTTGTAAAAGAAGCTATACTAAATAGATATGTATAAAAGAGTGAACCTAAATTAACAAAATAAATGCTGGTCTTATAGCCGATTCAGTCCCATTTAAAAGGGTGTGTATTTTCAAGGCTCTTATGACGTTATATGGCATCTAGATGCCATTTAAAAGAAAATGAACCCTCCATACTAACAGAAATATGAATAATGGTTCGCAAACACTCAATTATGCGGTGTGTTAAAAACTACTAGCTACTAGCTGCAGCTAAGCAAAACAAAGGGATCATACAAAAGAAAATTTTTTAGATAGAGACATTTAGTGATGATCTAAGGCGTGTATGAGGTGAAGGGTGTCACCATATTTGAGCAAGTACAAATGTACAACTACGCTAACTGCACCACACAAATGTAAGTATACTGCATATCTATGGTCATAAGCAACAACCGCCTACGTCGTCAAAAGAAATAATTCAGTTATATACGCTATCGTATTCCACAACTACTATTCTCTATAAAGATAATATTATAATCAAAACGTTTTTTCTCGAATTCAAGTTTTTCGACTTAGCCGGTTATTGCTTATGACCACGGATATAGGCATAACCAACCTAACGCATTTGCTATATCACAAATATGTACCAAATGTATCGATAAGAAATTCGCCTTTACCCAATTCGTTTGCATGTGTGTAAAATGTTGGGCATATTTACTATATGTGTTATGGTAAATGTATTAATATCTATTTCTTATTTATTTTCTATGCGCTACTCACGGAAAAGCCGCCATGGTTGCCAATTTTGTGTAGACCTCCTTTTTATTGCTCTTCAAGCTGAACAGGTGTGGTGGCAATAGTTTGTATTTAGTACAAAACTCTGCTGGTTGTAGCAAATAATCTTGTCGCCGTTCATCTAAATCACCTTTGGTGCCTACAATCATCACTGGTATTTTACTCTCTGCATAATATTTGATGTAAATGCGTGCAATGTATTCGAATGAACGCGGATTTGATGAATCGTAAACAAGACAGGCAACATCACAGTTCACCTCTTGTGGCTGCAGTGGGTCTAAAGCGTGCTTGACATCGATATCACGCAAAATAAGATGCTTTTCTTGGCCATAAACCTGCAATGAAATTTCATTGTATTGTAGGTTTGCCCAGAGTACAATATTATAAGAATACAGTTTACCTGCACTGTGTTAACGCAATGCACTACATTAGTTTTGAATTCCTTCCCAATCAGACTCTTCATGTCATCCACCAGAAATCCACGGCACAAGCCAGTTTTACCCGCGCCTTTCGGTCCAATTACATGACACATGTAAACCGAACGACTACTCTGTCGTTTTGCCAAGTCAATGCGTCGTTCGCGGGTCACATGTATTGCCGCCAATTGACTATCGTTCTCGTGTACATTGAAACCCAAATATGCTAAGTACTCCAATGTTTTTGAAACATCGATAAGCGCCATTAGCGTCCAGCGACATAGCCAGCCGTGTAGCGTAACCCAACCTTGATCGTTGGTCGGGCACGACTTACGTATATCTGTCGAATAAGACCAGGGCGCCGATGGACAAGTGCTAAAAATCATTTTGTGCTCCTCCGGGGATAGTGCGCCATCGCCATCTTTGTCGTATCGTTCGAACAGGGCTATGAGGAACTGTTGGCCGCGATGTGATAGTTCTGTGCTGCTGCCGGGTGGTATCTTCAACGTGGGACGCAAATAATCTTTACACATTTCCAATTGTTCGTTGTAGCCGAAACGGCGCAACACTGCCCAAGTTGTTTCATTGCGTCCACGCTGTATAAACAAGCAATGCAGGAAGAGAAAACCCTTTAATGTAACAGCATCATGGATGATACCGTCTGGAATATTCTTCTGTATAACAGCTTTCACTTCGTCCAGTATTTGTGGTTGTAGGGGAGTGTTGAAACAGCGACGTTGAAAGAGATTCAATTCGTAGTCGTTCAGCAAATTATCACCATCGATGTCGCAAATCTTGAATATGCGAACAAGTGATTTTTTGCATGCTGGAGTGAGCTGCAATAGTTATTAGTAGAGTTAGTATTATTAGTACATGCCTTCTAGTCTTTAATCCGAAGTTGTACTTACATCTTGCTCCTCCATTATGTATAGCGGCGATGTCGGATGCAAAACAGCCTTTTGTGCATAGTAGAACATTTCGGAAATGTTGTGTAGCGTTTTGGCGGAGCATTCTACACAGCTCTCTACTTCTGGAAAGTCTTCCATTATTGTCAATACACTCTAAAAATTTAATTTAAACATTGTATTGCTTTCATTTTTTATTGCATGATAAAGAAACTCACATCAATGGTTGAGTATTCTATCAGATCGACTTTGTTGCCTACCAACACAATGGGCTTACGCTGCTGGTCTGGCCCAATTGCATTACGAACCAAAGGCAGCCAATGTGAAGTTATACGATCTAGCGAATCGTCATCTTCCACGCTATATACAATGCATACAACATGCGCCTTGAGAATCTCTTCGTTCAGTGTTACATCAGTTTGTTCTGTGCCTGGTAAATGAAAATACGTATGTACAAAACACAAAAAAATTATTTTTTAAATAATAGTTTATACGTAAATATATTTTATAACTCACTTGAGTAGTCGACAATGTTTGTTGGCACCTGTTCAGGTGTTACATTAGCGGGTATTGTTATCTCTTCAGCTTTTGGTGGAACATCCTCGGGAAATTCTTCGCTCACAAGCGAGAGTATGAGTGAGGTTTTACCCACTCCCTGATCGCCAACTAACAATATGCGCACATTTTTTCGCTGAGCAACACTGTATTGAACCATATTTGGAGTTTTGATACTTTAAATTCAATGGCAGGAAAAGGATCTGGTTTTGAAAGTAATTTTTGATTTTACTAGGGTTGTAGATATAGTGTTTACAGTGTTTACGATTACTCAATTTTCGATAAATAGAGCGAATACGAATCCCAAAATATAAACAGCGCCTTGTAGACCGCTCATCTATGCTGAACTAGAGCAAAGCTCACTGGAAATAAAACAAAAAGCGCAAGATGATTGCATGTTAAACCTAAAAAAAAAGTCACCTAAAACGTAGAAACTTTGCAAAACTCTACCGAAGTACATACTACATAGCTACATATCGCACACCTAGAACTTAAGTGATAAAGGTGTGCGATATGTAGGTAATTAACTTCAAACCATGTAAAGATTTTCTTCTTTTTATCAAAAACTTTTCTTATCAAAGCGGTAATTGGCTTCAAAAACTTCATTGCGAACAAGAAACACACAATAGTTGCATGAACCAAAAATAGTCGTTGGTTCATGCAATAGTTGCACTTAACTAATATGAACCACAAGCTGAACACAGATACCTGAATTTTGTTAATTATAGCAATTCGCACAGTTTATTGCTCAATGGTACATTGCTGCTTTTGTGTTCTTGTTTTATTACACTCTAGTAGGTTTTTAGTTCACTGACCGCTTTTAACTATCAAAGCAATGTAGTCCGGTTTGCATTTACATGGATAATAGTGATTAGCAACTACAATTTGTTCAAATATATTTTACAATGAGCATTTACTGCACCGGGCAAAATCAATAAATGAAGAAAAATGATATGTAATTTGCTGCAATATATCTCTCGTTTAATGCGATATGGTAATCTGCACGTATTAAAATTCGACTCCAAAACTGCAATCCAGGCACTGTAGGGGGCCAGTGGCTCTGAGGAAAAAAGATAAGCGTAGACGCCAGATTTGTCACAGAATCAAATAAAAATTTCTTCGCAGGAGGCTTTTTGCACCGCTTGACTGTTTACTTTTCCCTATGCATTGGCCCCTATACATGTTCATATGTATCTACAAACATAACGCCACAAAATCGCAACCACCATCAACAAGGCACATTTCCCCCCAAGTCCCAATTTCAGTACCGACTAGCATTTTCGCAAGTCGGTGTTAATCAAATTGGTCACATGTTTCCATCTTTAACAAGTCCTTCGATGATAGTACTTCGAATATATTTATTTGAAAATATGCACAAAATATTCCACGGCATAACAAAATATATTTGTCGCGAAAAAAAATAATTACATAAACCCGACAAATAAAAAATATTGCAAACAAACCTCTCCTACACAAGATGAAAATCCGTCGTCTGCCAGACAGCGAAAGGGTATGTTCAGTGAAAGAGAAGGCGCAACTATTTGTCAGATACCATTGTGAATATCTGCTCTTAGTGATGTATATTTTGTTTGTTTATAGTGGTTACTTAATAAAGTAGTTTTTAATCGATTTCAAAAAAAGGAAGAAGTTATCATTTCATATGAATTTATTTTTTATATGTTACTGCATAACTTTGGACCACGTTAACCGATTTCTATAATTTTTTATTAAAAGGAAATGTGGTACCTCAGATGTTGGACCATACTAATTTGGTTCACATCCGATCATTGGATCGTGAAGAAATTAACGGTACTTTTAAATTTTTATATGAGAATTAAAGACGGTTTCGTCTTATGCTTAAAAATTACTTGTTTAGTTTTTACAATTTAAAGAAATTGTTAAACTTATACTTTGAACTTCAATATGTAACACCAGTAATTATTTTTTCGCCCAAAAAAAATTATACCATTATGGTCAGGACTAATACCCCTGTCGATCCTAATATAAATTTGTTTTACGTATTCTGTACTTACAGCAAAACTTTGCATATGTATGTAGATTACCAATCGATACAGACTGATAACGAACAGCTTCCTAATAGCATTTCGAAATTCCTTCTGAGTTTAAAAATGTTGTTAAATAAATAAAAATGCAAATCGTGTTACAACCAAGATTTTATTTTTTTTTTCAATGTACATACATATGTTTTATATGATGCAAGTGCAAATTTTATAAATATACACATTTATGTGTTCCTGCAATTACTTCAGCAGCTATTTTTACTTTTAACTTTATTTCCACTCGATTCAAAACCTATATATGTATATAGAGATTATTAAAAAAAGATATTACGACACCAGCGCCTTAACCGCTCCCATGATAAACGTGTTGTCTGTAAATGGGAGCGGCACTGCATTTCATATACGAAATTGCATTTGAAAATTCCGGCCAGTGTATTGAACTTTAATTGCTGCATAATAAAAAAGATTAAAGGCGACTAAAATTAGATTTCATTCCTTGAGGCTATGGAGGAGCACCAACAAAATCACGGTACACATCAATGTATTTAATTTTTGTCCACCAATTTGTCACAATCGGTGAAGTAGTCAACGCTAAGCTTTACTAAAACTGCTCCGGAAGCCAAACCGGCAATGGTAGCCAAAGCTGCGTTTTCTCTTGGTAGCACCGACCTCATCAAAGCCCATGCAAGTACTGAACCCATGCTGAAGAGTGAGCCTCCTAGAATCGCGTACAGACCACGTCGCGAATTGGGTATTTTGCTTAGATGTGGACGTCCATATATATAGAAGGCGGTGCCGGCCAATGAACTTAGTAAAAGCACATTAGTCAAATCCTTTTTGGGTAAAATCTTGGATACGAAACCGGGATTCATTACGTTAACAGCAAGTGCAGAATACGATACCACACCATGCAGTGGGATGTAGTAGTGGAAAACGTTTTCCTTGGTGAAGGGTTTAAGCCCAATCTTGTCACACAGTGTGCAATCTGCATTTTTGTTACTAGCTCCTTCGCCGGCCATTGTTTTGTGCAGCTGATATTATTGTTGCGTGGAAATTTATTTAAACTTGACCGACTGTGCGACGTCTCTTTACGAGTGTAATAAAATGCTATATTTATGGTTGAAAACACGATAATTTTGCAAGTTCGTCTACCGCCGGTGAATTTACACAAATGTCATTTGCCTGTTATATAAAAGAGAGGAGATCCACAGACAGAAGTCATTTTTATTTTTATTCTCACCGATGATGTGCAAAAGTAGAGTAACCGGGCTCGAGTAGAGTAACCGGGTTATTTATTCGATATCGATTAATAAAGTAATTACAATCCTATTAATAAAGACCAATCGTCGCCTGGGTAAAAGATAGTCGTATGTTACGCACGTACGTATGACGCTTACGACAATATTTTACCCAGGCGACGCAATGCCAAAAATATGAACAAAAAACTGTTGGACAATGTAAAAGTAAATGTAGCTTTATTTTAAATACATACCTTACAAATTGAGTTAACTTTTTTTAGCTATGACTTCAATTTAATTATTGAGATATATCAAAGTATACGGTTTGGAATACAGTTGTGATTTTTGCAAACATTTTGTATAATCGACTAGCAGTTATACGTAAGATGTGTTTAAAACCAAAACTTCGTTGCTACAGTGCTAATATACACATATTTCTGATTATCTTAAAATCAATTAGGAGTATATGGTTTTATTAAGTTTTCAGCAAAATTTTTAATATTTTCAACACCACGCACTTCCTTCTCGAGCAGTGGTAATTTCGTGACGTGGAAATCTTCATAAAGGTCAGCAATTTGATCCAGGTATTTTTCTTGTATCTAAAATATTAGCGTTATAGAAAAACCAATCCACATTAAAGGCTTATTGAAAATTGAATACCTTGTACCGTGACGCGCACATGGCGCATGGCTCCTGGTTTTGTTTCTTAAATAGCAGTTGATTGACTATGATATTGTGAGTATCTATGCCGCATTTGGTCAACTCCTGCACAAGACGTTCGGTTTCGTACAGTGATAGGAATTCAGCGATACAAACACAAACGAAGGTTGCCTGGTCCTATAACGAAAATTTCGATGTAGGTAATTAATTCTAAAATTTTGCTCATTGTATGTTACACAAATTTTATATGCTTACTGGATTTCTAAACTGCTCGTTCACTTGTCTTATGATTTTTAGCATTTCATCCAGCTTTTGCGTTAGCGAGTCGGCATTAAAGTCTGTCATGCCTAGTATACTACCGAATTGTGAAATGAAAGGCGCTATCTTCATTTTCAACCTCAGTAGTTTTCCTAAACCCTTCTCAACGACCTGCGGGAAGGAAAGCAGGCGTAATGTGTGCCCTGTCGGCGCTGTGTCAAATATGACTACCGAAAAGTTCATTGCCTTTACTAGTCTGAAAAAAGTATTGGAATAGCAGATGATGGCTCTAACGAATTTGATCTTTTTCCACAATTATGCTTTTACTCACTTCATTACTTCTGCATAACTCATTGCTTCATCTATGCCTGGCAGCGCATTGACCACTTCATGTAGTACACCTTTGCTCAAATGTAGTCCTTCATTTTCGGTTTCAAAATATTCATCCGGCAACTCGTTAAGCCCAGCATTGGGATCAATTTCCATTGCATACAAATTTGTGAAGCCATTGACCTGCAAATCTCAATACAAATTACTCTGAGATTTTTAAACTTTAGTTTTGGCTAATTTTTAATTACCTTTGTTGGCACCTTTGTAAACTTTTGATCAAATGCATCCGATATGTTGTGCGCTGGATCTGTGGAAATAATAAGCACTGACTCACGAACTTTGGACATTTGCACCGCAAGGCTGCAGCTGTTTATAGGAAGTGAGTAGAATTGCAATGGTAATTAAGGTGGAAATTGAAGTAAAAATATGAATTAAAGAAAATTGTAGTATTTTAACTCTGAATTATGCTATTTGCGTTTAATTACCTGCATGTCGTCTTACCCACACCTCCTTTTCCACCTACAAAGATCCATTTAAGTGATGTCTGCTCGACGATATTGCGCAGGCTGGGCTCCATTGGCTCGTAATCATCACCCATTGTGAAAATTCTTGGTCGCAAAAATTTGTTTAAATGCAATAAAATAGACGCCCAACTATTTTTCAATGCTAATTTCACGCAAAAAACCACTATGAGTTGACGGGTTTTTGTCGTAGGGAAGTCGAAAAAAAATCGATGCATCGAAAATATCGATGTTTTACTTCGATGCATCGAAAATTTTCCACTCGATGTATAAATAGTCGATGTATCGATGCACTGACATCTCTAGTACATTGAAGCATTGTTCCTGTTTTTCAATTGTACAAAAAAGAGAAGGAGGATCAAAAAATTGAAACAGCTCCAAAAAGTACCGTTAGAAATGAAATTAGCTCAGTTACAGTAATTTATTAGAAATTTTGTACAATTTCGCTAATAACATATTTTGTTGTGAAACAAAAGTACAGCAACAAAAAAGCATTTTTCCTGTAAAAACGTCAACCAGTGATCGCATGCCACTTTTCACGATTTTACCAGAAGATAAAGTTCGGGTAATATCTGCAACTTCATTCTCTACACGGCTCTCCAAAAATCGCTCTCATTTACATGATTTTGGAGGATTGTGGAGTACGGGATCATTTTTCCTGTAACTTCCTGCAAGTTCGGTTAAAACCCTGTAAGTTCATGGAGTACTGGATCAGAGCTATTATCTGAAAAATCCTATATAAATCAACACATCGATGTATGCCCTTCGATGCATCGAAAAATATCGATGTACATTTCGATGCATCGAATCAAAGAAAAACATCGATGTATTCTTGCCACTGACATCCCTATTTTTTCGGCAAATGTCAGTTGTCAAAAGGTGCCGTTCACAATCAACCAATGGCCAATATATACAGTGTTGCCCTTAAAAGTTTTCAGAAAGTCGCAAAAAAGGGTAATTACGAAAGAAAGGTTCTCCAAATTATTTTTGCTCTTCTCTACTAGTAAAATAATAACTCTGTTGAATTTAAAAAGATAAATAGCGGGACAAGCATTACACAAAACAGGGTTGCAAGCATACCTTAAATCTAGCTGTTGCAAGGAGAAGAGTTGCATTTCCTTTGAAAGTTTTAAGTGATGCATTTTTTGGAATAAAGCCCTGTATGCAGCTCTCAAGAAAACGGTCAAGAAAAAATTGCCATTATTTCGCGTGTGTGTCCAAGGAATTTTGACATTTTTGATACCTCACAGCCTGTTGCCTCACTCTTTCCTCAAGAAATAATGGAACGGGCATATATTTCTGTTGCAAACCTGGGTTGCCTTGTGCTCTTTTTTCACAAAATTAGAAAACCGTAGGAGAAGGCATACTAAATTTCTTAAGAACTGCGTACTGCCTTAAGGAAATTTGACCACAGCAACTATTATATACACAATTGTCGTTGTCAGCTGCGAACCGCCCAAGGCGAATTTAATAAGGTAGTGTTAGCCACCACCAACTCAACGTGATATTCATACCGTCATTGGTATGAATTACAACAAACACATTATTTTGACGTATTGTCCTCCACGGCGAAAAATTCAGATAAAGATAAAGTCAACAAATTTTCATCCGAAATTCAAACCTTTTCTCAAAAATATTAGATTTTTTTGAGTATTTTTTCAAGTTTCAAGTGTCTAGGAATTAACGTTGATTTTTTTTAGATTCTTTTTTTTCCTACACAAGGTGTTGCGCTTTCTTCTATATAAAAATAAATTGTCTATAGTCATTATATGGAAGCAAAATACATACATAAATGCACATGTCTTTATAAAACAAAAACTCATGCTAACACGGTTCAGTTTTAATGAATCGTACAAAAAAATTCGTCGTTCAATCAAAAAAAAAAAAAAAAATATGGTGGCAAAATCATTTATCTACGGACACTATTTCGATCTTTCTTTTCAATACACCGCAATAAGCGCATCAAACATTTACAAGTTAATGAGACAATAATTAAATAGTCTACTAAGCGGTCAGATAAGTAAATAAATAACGTGACAAACACTTTATGAATGAATGAAAAACCCACTCATTACAATGTACACACGCACACAAACTGCTATTCATTTCCTCACGCACGCATACAAAATAAGGTGAATGCAAGAATGGCTGCTTAACTATCTCCCATTGCAATTGTTGATGCAAAGTTCGAGGGCAAGGCAAAAAGACGCTTGGGGATTGAGCGACATTGGGCAAATAACTACATACATACATAGTATAACGGTGTTGGTGTACGCGCCTCGTTAACAAACAAATGTTAAGCAACAATAAATAGAAAATAGACTCCTGCGCAATTCCATTTAAACGGCCCAACAAGACATCCGATCGCCGCGCAAATACTTTCCATCCCCTACTNGAGTAATAGCAAGTACGTCAAGTATTTACTCTCTCAACGCCAAGTAGTGTATGTATGCGGAAAAAAAGTAACAATGTGTTGGGAGTAGAGTACAATGCAAGGAGTACTTATTGAATGAAATGCGGCAAATACAATTGCGCTGGACTCTAATAGAAAAACAAAGAAAACAAACTTGGTTGGATTGGAGAAAACAATTAAAATGAATGACCAAAGTTACAGTGACTGCGCTTTAGCACTCCATATGTCCCGGTGTGTGTTTAAAGAGTCTCAGGAATCTGGTGTATTGTTTGTCTATTTATACATGCATGCTTACGTATGTATGTACATTTGTATCTATTAAAGCCTTCTTACACTATATGCATTTTCATCTATAAATGCCACTTTTCCGATAGACATGTGTGTATGTACCTGCACCTGCCTGTCAAATTCCCTGTATCGAATCAGTTATTTAAAATTTAAATAACGTTATTTTTTTTTAAACAAATGGCCAGGTTCACGAAAGCAATTTAAGTGAAAAATCATTTTTTTTATCTGAATTTAATATGAAAACTGACAGAAAGAATTGGGTTTCACTTAAATTGCTGGTGAAATTGGCAGTAAATAAACCGAATACATATGTATGATTCTATCTGTATGTCAGATGAAATTATAAACATTTCTATTCCGTATGTAGGTATGTAAGTGCATACACTTTATACAGAAGAATTTGAATTTCCATATGTAAAGAGTGACTTTTCCACAAGCAAATATATATAGTGTAAGGCCACTTTAATGATGATATTGTTGTTTTTGGAATTGTGTGTACTTTATTTTTACGTGCGAGTATATAGTGGGTTGAATATGACTTCACATACACAAATAGGAGGCCTCTACGCGAGTATTTCTAACGTGGGCTTGTTTGTCCGACTGAGTCTCATCCAGCTGTCATAGTGCACGGTGGATCCAAGTGGTGTTTTATTAAAAAAAAAAACAAAAACACGATGTGTGTGTAAAAATGTCTAAAGTTGGTTGCTTTTTTTAACAGCTGAGTATACTCATTTATAGTACTCTCTCTTAGAGAAAAGGAATTTTTTCCCGTAAGGAACATTAAAGAGCGTTAGGCAAGCAACCTTTTCCATAGAATTAATGGGAGATGCTCTTGACTATTTGCAAGGTTTATATGGAGGATTTGTCATAGTAACTACGATGTTCTATGCTGCGGCGAAATTGATCAGCCGCTATCTGTTGTCGCGTTTTTCTGTCGTCTGGCGGCAACCTCCCGCACTTGGCTTCTCACCGTTACACATATGTAAAGTGTATCCTTTCCTCATTTGAAAGCGTAAAACGTGCCACTTGATTACAATTCACATTTCTGCTTGGAAATACGTAGATATGTATAAAGTTTGAAATTCTATACGCTTAACAGTCTGACCAAAATCACTGTGGCGCTCAAAGCAGCGAGGTGTAAGATAATTGTAGCGATGCGTTGCGATGTTAAAACGTTTGTTGGGCCTATAAACATCTGGTGAAGTAGTATTGAGCTTTTCACATGCTCAAATATTTCTGTGGTCATACATAATAACCGCCTAAGTCGACTTAAGAAAGAATTGAGTTATATATGCTATCGTATTCTGCAACTACTATTCCATGGGTACGTGAAATCCCCATCTCGCTAGCTAGGCTATTTAAAAAGTTATAGACGAACATATTTTGGTTTCCCCATAAGGTTAACATTGCAATCCAAATGTTTAAAACGTTTTTTCTCGAATTCAGGTATTTCGACTTAGGCGGTTATTGCTTATGCCCAAAGGTATGTATGTATGTATATGATATGTAGGTGCGCAATCTAACGCCGCATAGCGACCATAACGCCTCCATATGTCTATTCATTGCGCTAGGAAAACAACGAACAAGAGCAAATCAAACAAAAACTTAGAAGCGAGCAGAGTGAAGTAAAAACAAAAAAAAAAAAAACAAAAAAAAACTTAAATCGAATATTAATTTACAAATGTGCTTACTTACAATACAATAGACTGACATATGTACATACATACATACACTTACAAATTTATAGTGTCAACAGTTGATGTGTCTATATATTTGTTGATATTAATTGTATTTGTTGTTGTTGCTGCTGCTGTTGTCTGCTTGGTGGTTTGGTGGTTTGGTGGCTTGGTGGTTTGATAGGTAAACTTTTTTTTTCAATTGGTATTGTTGTTGCTAAGTTGCCGCTTCGATGCGAATGCAAATAGAGTAGCGTGACGCTATTTATTTTGTCTATGTATGTATGTATATATGCTGTGGTGTAGTGGTTAGAAGTGCGCACTACCATACCGTAGGGCCTGGGTTCGAGCACAGTTTCCAACTAACATCAAAACTAAAATTTTTTCTAACAGCTCTCGGCCCTCGGCAGGCAATGGCAAACCTTCGAGTGTATTTTTGCTATGAAAAACAGCTTCTCATAAAAAATACAATCGCCCATTGTGTGGCAACATCAAGGCGCACGCCACAAATCGGTGGAGAAGCTCGGCCAAACACTGACATATGGTGTATGCGCCAATCCATTATTATTATTATATTGTATATACATACATAAGTACATATATGCATAGTTTGTTCGTGACCGTGGCCGCTGGCTCGGTAGTTTGCCAGTTCGCTAAATGTTGGCCGGCTGGTGCTGGTGGAACGCTTTTCTTTTGGTTGCTTGGCTACGCTGTGCTGGGCGCTCCATTTGTTGAGCACATTTGTCTTTGAGTAGCAGCGGTGTCGAGTCGCGTCTTATTGTCGCATACGCACGCCTATGTCGTTGAGTCTTTGATCGAGTCCAATCGAGCAGCGG